AGGGTCTTATTCGTAAGTCTCTTAGTCCATGTGCTTGTCCTACTTTGATTGTGCCTAAGAAGAATGGAGAATGGAGAATGTGTGTTGATAGTAGGTCAATCAATAAAATCACTATCAAGTACCGGTTTCCTATTCCAAGGTTGAATGATTTACTTGATGATTTTCATGGTTCTAAAGTGTTCTCTAAAATTGCTTTGAGAAGTGGCTATTATCAAATTCGAATTTTCGAAGGAGATGAATGGAAGACCGCTTTCAAGACAAAGGAGGGCCTCTATGAGTTGCTTGTGATGCCATTTGGTTTGTCTAATGCACCATCTACATTTATGCGCCTTATGAATCAGGTTATGCAACCTTTCATGGGTAAATTTTTTGTAGTTTATTTTGATGATATTTTGGTGTATAGTAGGGAGGAAGAAGAGCATTCTATGAACTTGCAACAGGTTTTTGAAGCCCTTGAACGTGAGAAATTGTATGGTAACTTAGAGAAGTGTCATTTCTTCACTTCCCAAGTTATTTTTCATAGCTTTAAAGTCTCATCACAAGGCATTGAAGTTGATGAAAAGAAAGTTGCTGCAATTCGTGAGTGGCCCACACCACAAACCATTCAACAAGTTCGAAGCTTTCATGGACTTGCTTCTTTCTATAGAAGATTTGTGCGGAATTTTAGTACCCTCGTGGCATACTATGACAAGAAAAGAAAGGAGGTCCGTTTTCAGCCCAGTGACTTAGTTTGGATTCATCTTCGAAAGGAAAGATTTCCTTCCAAAAGGCGGTCCAAGGTTAGTCCTCGTAGTGATGGTCCATTTGCTATTATTGAAAAGGTGAATGATAAAGCTTACAAAGTTGAGTTGCCCGGAGATTATGGTGTTTCTATCACCTTTAATGTGGCTGATTTATCACCTTACTATGATGAGTTTGAAGAGTTGCCGAGTTTGAGGGCAAACTCTTTTCAAGAAGGGGGGAATGTTGTAGCCAAGCCTAACAACTTGGTTATGGACATTTCTTTGGTTCAAGACGTAGCATCATGTATTGGTGCTATGCATTCTATCCTTGGGCAGCAAGATATTCAACCCCTTGAATTTCTTGTTGTTCTTATTAACTAGTTTATTCTAGTTCTTTTTATGCTTTAAATAATTGTAAACTTTAGTCATTTTAAGTTTGCAAATTAGCTATATTTTTTCTTAGTTCTTTTTAGCTGATTTTAGTTCGAAAAATATTGTCACATTCACACAAAAGTACAAGTGCAAAGATACATCAAAATGGCAGCCATTTAAGCTTGGAATCCGAAATTCTTTTACAAGGAATTTCAAAGCTTTGACTTGGGAGTTACAATCAGTTTTCAAAGAGGAATTACAAGCCATTACAAGCCTTAACTTCAGCTTTCAAGTGGCCGTTGATATCAGTCAACATTGGAGCATCTTAACCCTTAATTTCAGCCTTCAATTGGCTGTTTAATTCAGTCAGCTTTTGGAGCAACTAAAGGGCGTCCAAGTACACCCTTGTCCACATACATTCATGCTAATTTCAAGGCTTGAACCAAGGAGGAGTTACACTTCTTTGCTGTTTGAATTTGGGCGTGAATATTGGAGGAAATACATCTCCAACTTGCTGCTTGGATGGGCGTGAATTAAGGGGAGTTACACTCTCTTAATTCTGATTTTATTTCAGCCTTAATTTGGAGGTTATAAGCCATCATTTTCTCTTTGATGTATCTAGTTAAATAAGGCTTCTTTTATTAATGTATCTAGACAACAAAAGCTGATTTGTACTTAGCTTTAGCTTAGGCGTGTAACAAGTGAGATGAACAGCCACTTAAGTTAGCTTGTACTTAAGGATGCTTGTTTACTATAAATAGCAAGCAAATGTGAAAGAAAAAATTAGATTATTCAAACAAAAAACTTGTCTTACATTCGTTTCTTGGATTAGAAACAAAAACCTGAAATTCTTGGATTTGGAATTTCGTTTCCTTTGCTTAGTTAGCTAGTTTAGGCTACTAGTTGGCTTGTGATCTTAGGAATCCAAAACGTTTCTTAGTGGTGTGACTTTATCTAAGAAGCCTTTGGTTCTTTAGCCTTATCTATCCCTTGGTTTATCCCTTGTGTATTTCAAGTGTTACTCCAAATATACAATAGTTAATGAGGTGTTTGATGAGAGAGATGAACTTGTCACACCTGCTCTTGGTCTTGTCCACCCCTCTGCAGGAATGATTTGTAGGATAGATACTGAAATGTTGACCTTAAGCTTTGGATCAGTTTGCCCCAAATCCAATGTAACAGTAACTTCTCCGGTTACTGTTCTATTGTCTAATCAAGCTTCAAGCTCTTCCCCTGTTGCTTCTGCGAGGCTTAATCTGAACTGCAACCAACCTCTTATTAGCAATGCAACTATTCCTGAAGATATTGAAGAGGAATTGCCTGGAAATCGAGGTTTCAATGGGAAATTAGCTGCGAAAGGGTTTTCTCTAAGTTTTGTGCCTCCACAAATCAAAAACGGTAAGCCCATTGTTGTCTTACCTGTTGATGAAATTGAGGAAGGAAATAAGGAGTGGAGTCATGCTCTTGTTTTATATGTTGTTGGGTATTACCCCACAATTGCAGCCATTGAAAGATATATTGTTAATGAATGGGGAATTGACAATAATCCTGATGTATATTGGCATGATGAGGGTTTTTTCATAATCAATTTACGCTCATTAGAAAATCAGAATTCTGTGTTGTCTGGAGGCCCTCATATGTTTTATGGGAAACCTGCTATTGTCAAACCTTGGTCTGAAAAATTTGATTTTAATAGTGAAATTTTGCGAAAAGTGCCTTTATGGGTTAAGCTGCCTAACTTACCTCTCAATTGCTGGGGTGCTGAAACTCTAAGCAGAATTGGCAGTACCCTTGGGGTTCCAATTTGTGCTGATGAATGCACATCAAGACAGCTAAGGGTATCCTTTGCAAGGTTACTTATTGAAATAGATATAGCTAAACCTTTACCTGAGTCAGTTTGGGTGGAAAGTCCTAAAGGGGAGGTTGTGGAACTAACAGTGCTCTATGAGTGGACTCCTCCTTTTTGTGTTCAATGCAATAAGGCAGGTCATGATTGTGGGGAATTCAAACCAAAGCAAAGTGAACCTGCTCCTCAGGCTAAAACTCAGAAGAAGGTCTGGGTTCAAAAGGGCAAGCAAGGTTCTGAAGCTCCTGTAACTGGAGTATGGGAAACTGTGAAGAAGAAAGGTAAAGATGTTGTTGTACCTGTAGCTTTTGTTCTAACATCAAACAAATATGTTGTGTTACCTGAAAACAAGTTACCAACTCTTCCGAGCGGGGGTAGGCCCCCTACACAGTCATGATTCTCACAGTCTGGAATATCAGGGGTCTTAATGACCCCTGTAAAGTAGCTGATGTGAAGCAGCTACCTGATAGAACTAGTACAGATGTTTTATGCTTGCTTGAAACTAGAGTTAAACAGAAGAATTATGTTGGAGTTCAGAAGAAGATCTCTCATGGTCTAACCTGGGTTTGTAATTATAATGAGTCCAGGAAAGGCAGAATTTGGCTTGGTTGGAAGCATGATAAGGTTCATATTGAGATTATCACTGTCCATGCCCAATTCGTTCACTGTATAGTTAGCACTCTTGATTATAGTACTCAAATTGCTGTCTCTTTTTTCTATGGGTTGCATAATATTCATGATAGGAAAGAGCTTTGGAGTGGTGTTAGAGCTATTGGCTCTACTTTGCTTCCTTGGATCTGTACTGGTGATTTCAACTGTGTTTTGCATCCTGAAGATAGAATTAATGGCAATGAGGTTACTGATTATGAAGTTCGAGATTTTAAAGACTTTATTGAGCAAATGAGCTTCACTGAGATCAAAAGTAAGGGCTCTTTCTTCTCCTGGTCTAATAAGGCTCATACAGGCCCTAGAACTCAAACTAGAATTGATAGAGGTCTAGTTAATTTTGAATGGATCAATCAATTCCCAAATGTGGACGCTGTTTATCTTCCTCCTTCTCTGTCTGATCATGCCCCTTTATTTTATGATATTCTTCCTCCCCTCCCTGGGAAAGGCAGGCCTTTTAGATTTCTGAATCACATGCTCACTCACCCTAATTTTCTATCTATTGTTGAAGAAACTTGGAGTGCAGGGACTCAGGGAGACAATATGAGTAGGGTTTGGAAAAAATGCAAACAGTTGAAGATTAGGCTTAAGGATCTCAATATTAAAGCCTTTGGAAATGTTGAAATGAGAGTTGATTTAGCTCAACAAGCCCTCTTGGAAATTCAAAATCAATTGATTCTTGATCCTCATATTTCTGATCTGTTTGAACAGGAGACTGAAGCTATTCAAAGGCTTAAATATTGGAGATTAGTGCAAGAGAGTATTTACAGGCAGAAGGCTAGAGTGGACTGGATCAAACTTGGTGATTCTAATACCAAGTATTTCTATTCTATGCTAAAGCAGAGACAGGCTAGAAATAGAATTGATTCTCTTTTGACTGAGCAACATGTTCTTCTTAAGAATCCTGTTGATATAGAAAGGGAGTTTCTATCTTTCTATAAGCAATTGCTGGGCTCTTCTGCTGATAATCTTGATGGGATTGATTTGACCACAATGAGATCAGGGAAGCAACTCTCTCATGATGCTCAGAATTTACTTATTGGCCCTGTTACCAATTCTGAGATTGATCTTGCTATTAAAAGGATCTATGATGAAAAAGCCCCTGGAATTGATGGGTTTAACTCCAGGTTTTTCAAATCTGTGTGGAGTACTGTCAAGTTTGACATCTATGAAGTTGTACATGCTTTCTTTACTACTGGCATTCTAAATTCTCAGTGGAATTGTACAACTCTAACCCTTGTTCCTAAAGTTCATAACCCTTCTTATGTGAAGGATTTCAGACCCATTGCTTGTTGCACTGTCCTTTATAAAATCATTTCAAAAATTCTGACTTCAAGACAAAGAAGGGCTTAAGGCAGGGTGACCCTATGTCCCCTTTTCTGTTTGCCTTGGGAATGGAGTACCTCTCTAGATGCTTATTTGAGCTAACTAAGTTTCCTGATTTCAATTTTCATCAAAGATGTGAAAGACTCTCAATCACTCATTTAATGTTTGCTGATGATCTTCTGTTATTCACTAGGGCAGATGAGTGTTCTGTTAGGCTCATGTTTAAAGCTTTTCAGAAGTTCTCTAGAGCTTCAGGCCTTGAGGCTAATCTGTTAAAGAGTGAAGTTTATTTTCGAGGGGTTAGCACTGAATTACAGAATACCCTTCTTGAAAGTCTAGGTATGTTTGCTGGTGCTATCCCTTTCAAGTATCTTGGTGTCCCTTTATCTTCAAAAAAATTGACAATTCAACAATGCAAGCCTCTAGTTAACAAGATTGCAAGTAGAATTGAAGGGTGGGCTTCAAGATTCTTGTCCTACTCTGGAAGGTTACAACTCATAAAGAGTGTACTCTTTGGAATACAGACTTATTGAGCTCAAATTTTCATTTTGCCAAAGAAGATCATGAGGGAGATTGAAAGTAGATTTAAAGCTTTTTTATGGACTAGTTCAGCCAATCCTACAAAGAAAGCCCTCATTGCATGGTCTACTGTTTGCTTGCCTAAGTTTTGTGGAGGGTGGAATGTTATCTCCTTGCAAGACTGGAATATCTCTACTATTTGCAAGATTCTCTAGGATATAGCTCATAAGACTGATTCTTTGTGAGTTAAGTGGGTCCACAGTTATTATTTCAGATCAGTTAACTTCTGGGATGCTGATATCCCTAAGAAAAGCTCCTGGGTTCTCAGGAGGATTTTGAAATACAGGGAGTTAATTGATGAGATTGGAGGGTGGGATTCTATTTTGAAGAATAATAGGGTTCAAATTAAACTTATCTACAAGAATCTCAGGCAGCAAAGTCCAAAAGTCCCCTGGAAAAGACTTATCTGTAATAATGGTGCTTCTCCAAGATGCATTTTCATTCTCTGGCTTGCTAGTTGGAATAGGTTGCTCACTAAAGACAGAGTTCTTAAATGGAACCCCAGCTGTGATCTTGTGTGTATGCTATGTTTGCAAGAAAATGAAGATGTCCATCACCTTTTCTTTCTCTACACTTTTTCTAGAAGAATTTGGGGAAAGGATTTGCAGCTCTTAAAATGTAATAAACCCGTTCAAGGATTTAATCAGGAACTGGAATGGGCTATCAAGTACAGTAGGAAGTCAACTTTAACAGCCAGATTTCATGTGATGTTCTTAACTGAGACTATTTACAGCATCTGGATTCAAAGGAATAACACTATGTTTAATGGCTGTTGTGAACCAGCTGATACTGTCTTCAGGAATGTGGTGTACATTGAATCAAATGAAAGTCAAATGCATTCTACAAAGCAAATTAAATCAAATGAAAGTCAAACACATTCAAACAAAGCTTTTCGAATCAAATGAAAGTCAAATGCATTCAACAAAGCTAATTGAATCAAATGAAAGTCAAGCACATTCAAACAAAGCTAATTAAATCAAACGAAAGTCAAATGATTTCAACAAAGCTAATTGAATCAAATGAAAGTCAAATGCTTTTTACAAAGCTAATTGAATCAAATGAAAGTCGAATACATTCAAACAAAACTTTTTGAATCAAATGAAAGTCAAACACATTCAAACAAAGCTTTTTTAATCAAATGAAAGTCAAACACATTCAAAAAAAGCTTTTTGAATCAAATGAAAGTCAAATGCATTCAATAAAGCTAATTAAATCAAATGAAAGTCAAACACATTCAAACAAAGGTTTTTGAATCAAATGAAAGTCAAATGCTTTCAACAAAGCTAATTGAATCAAATGAAAGTCAAATGCATTCTACAGAGCAAATTAAATCAAATGAAAGTCAAACACATTCAAACAAAGCTTTTTGAATCAAATGAAAGTCAAATGCATTCAATAAAGCTAATTGAATTAAATGATAGTCAAATGCACTCTAAAAAGCTAATTGAATCAAATGAAAGTCAAACAAATTCAAACAAAGCTAATTGAATCAAATGAAAGTCAAATGCATTCAACAAATGATGTGGATTTCAACCCCTTAACTTAATAAAGAATCTAAAACCACACAAGTAACACTAGCACTTCGAATTTCCTAAGAAAATCGAACAACTTAAGAATAACGAACCGGATATGACTTTGAAAACGACCACTCCTGGAACGAATTCAACGCCTCTCAAATTACCTAGACCACTCCTGGAACTAAGTACTTTGATGAACAAAACTTAGACTACTCCTAGAACTAAGAATTGAACGTTCTAATTATCAAAACAACTCCTTGAATTGAAAACTAGCAAAAGAATTTGTAAGCAATTAAGCAAAACAAACAATAAACTTGTATTGAATTTTCTGGTTTTTGTTGTTGTGTACAAAGCCACGAAAAATCCCTTATTTATAGAATAAAACTAACTATTCCTAAGTCTATTCAAACTAGAAAAAACCCTAGCCTTGATCCCAAAGTATCCTAGATAGAATAGGAAAACCAATTCTAATGGAACTAGGAAACTAGTAATAAGACTAGTTCTAATTAACCTAAAACTTCTTAAAACAATTCCTAATTGACTTAGAAATTATTTTAAAATAAAATAACAGAAATTAAGAAGATTCCTAATTGCTTAAACCAAGAAAAACCCTTTCAAGTGAAAGGTAAAAACTTGCAAGCAAAAACTCTAGAAAAAACTAAGTAAAGAAAATCATGCTTTTCGTTCTGTCGCCGAAACTCTTTGCACGCGCCACCAAGGTGGTGCACGCGCCTGACCAATGTCAAGGTGGGTCCAAGGCGGAGCTAGGGAGTCGGCGCGTGGAAGCATGTGTGCTCGTCGGAAGTGAACTTCGCAATTTCTTCTTCTTTGTAATTCGTGCTTGTTTCTTTCCAATTTAAGCTATTGGATCTTTCCTTGTTTATTATCTTGTTTATTTTCTTGTTTGGGCAGCCCATAATGAAGCTATTTGGACCTTCTACAAGTGTCTTGGACCCTTCAAAAGAATTAGCCTCTTGATTCACATCATTCTCCCCTTCTTCAAAAGAATTTGCCCTCAAATTCACATCATCAAAACAAATAAAGAGGTTTTCAATGTTATAGGTAGAATCTTCATCGCCATTCTTACTAGAAAAGTCTTCTTTATTAAGAAGACATGTCTTGGGTCTTCTATCGATCTCTTCCTTGAATACCTTTTCCCTTAGAAACAAACTTGAACTTCGATTAACATTGGAGCAATTACTATGTCCTTTATGAGACAAAGGTTGTAGACTAAAACGTTTGTTTCCATCCTTCACGGAATACACATTGGTCTTGCCATCATGTTTAACCTTTCTATCAAATTGCCATGGTCTTCCCAAAAGTAAGTGACAAGCACTCATTGGAATCACATCACACCATATTTCATCTTTGTAATTTCCTATGGAGAAATTTACTAATGCTTGCTTCTTAATTTGAAAACCCTTTGAATCATCAAGCCAGTTTACTTTATATGGTTTTGAATGATCACGAATAGAGAGGTTCAGTTTACTCACCATGCTAGTTGAAGCAACATTCGTGCAAGAGCCACTATCAGTGATCACGTTGCAAGTACTTTCACCAACTTTGCATCGAGTATGGAACAAATTCTCACGTTGATCTTGAATAGAAGTGACTTCGGTGTGTAATATCTTCCTTAAAACAAGCAGCTTATCTTCATCTTCGACATAGACAACCTCATCCTCTTCTTCCGAGTCAACAACCTTTTCCTCCTTATTATGAATTGACTCCTCTTCACACTCAAAGGTTATGTGTTCCTCTTCTTCTTCCATTTGTTGATATTGTTTGATTGTAAGATCTTTCTTAGTAGGACATTGATCCGACCTATGTCCCTTTCCTTGACACTTGAAGCACCTAATTCGACTTTCAAATTCCTCTTTAGACACCTTGACAACCTTCTTTTATCCACTCGTCGAACTTTCTCCCTTGTGCTCGTTAGAAAAATTTGTGGAACTAGGCTTGAAAGGTTTCGAAAAACTTTTATTTGCCTCGGTTTTTTTCTTATCCTCGAGCCAATGACTTTTAATTAGGGGATTTTTCCCCACCAATCACCATCTGACAAGTGGACCAATCAGGTTCCGCCATGTGTCCGTCACATGGGCTAATAGGAGTCTGCCACGTGTCAGGCAATGATCCGTCCACTATGGACCAATTACGACACGACACGTGTCCTTCTCATTACACCTGGGATAACAGGTCACCTACGCCCAACTTCCGAGGGAAGCCCAATCAGCCCAAGGTTAACCTAAACCTAGATTGACACGTTTCCCGAGGTTATAAATACCTCCCTTAATCCTCATTAAGGGGGAGAACACGCTAAAAAGCAGATTATACACATTAAACACTCTCACCTAGAGAGACCCAATCACTTTAATTTCCGCATTAATTAATCCTTAATCAAGTACTAACTTGACCGTCGGAGGCGGATCTCCAATCATCCGGAGCATCCGTTTGTTTTGCAGGTACAGGCGTCCGGTTCCAGTCTCGGAATTGTAACTCTCTCGCAGGACATCAGAAAACCCCGAAACATTTGGCGCCGTCTGTGGGGAGAGTACTTCTGAGATGGCATCCACGTTTGTACCGGCTCCTGAAGAGAGGCGTCCCCTAGACGACCTTCAAGTTCATTCGGACCACGATACTGAGAATGAATTTGAAGTTGAAGCTCTCACAGCTTCAGACGGGACCCTAAGGGCCCGACGTACCCGTCATGCCGAAAGGAGGGAACGGGAACATCTTCAAACTGGAAGTGAGCCAGCAGGCGCACCGCCTGTTCGGCAGCAGCCGACTGATGGGTCTGCTCCCATAACATCGAACGAACTCATGACCTTCATGAGGGACTTCAAGGGAGAAATTCAAGAGTTGATCAACAAGAAGCCGCCTGCTCTGGACAAGGAGCAGTCGGCTAAGAAACCTTCCACTTCACTAAAAAGGAAACCAGTTCAAGGGCGAGAGGCGACCCCTCATCCTAAATCTAGGAAGTGGGAGCCACCTGCCCTTGATTTCACAAAATACCGTTTTCCTACTCCAGGAAATAGGAAACCTGTTCGTCATATTCAGGCGGACGGGTCGAAGAAAACATACACAGACGCTCGGCTATTGCTAGAGCAGAAGAAGAGTAGCCGATTGTCAGAGTCGGCCTCTACTTCAAACTTCCAAGACAGTCTGCGAAATACCTCAATGAGGCATACTCAGTCGTATCGTGAGAGTCAGTCAGGCGGCACCTCCCGTCAGTCCGGCTTTCATAGCGACCAGGCGGTACCAAACTTACCGTTTGTACCGCAACAACAATATTTTTTACAGCCACCTCCGTTTTGTGGACATGCAGCAAAAAATGTCCAACCTATGGACTGGCAGCTACGGTTCCTTAGACTTGGTGAACAACCGTCGGCCTTCTCCAAGGAAATTACTGAAGCCGCTCAACCGGCCAAAGTGAAAAATGTATTAGTAGGCGCCTATGACGGCACTACTAACCCAGAAGACCATCTGATGGCATTCACCAACCTGATGTACCTTCAAGGGTTGGATGATCCCACTTGGTGCAAGTGTTTCCCAGCGACTCTCAAAGGAATCGCACAACAATGGTTCGGCAACCTGCCGACTGGTTGTGTAAATAACTTCAGGACGCTTGCTTACTTATTCACCTCCAACTTCGCGATGAACATCCCTGCGAAGAAGACGACCCTTGATTTAGGAACAATTCAGCAGGGCAAGAAGGAGGGGCTTCGTTCTTACATCAGGCGGTTTAACCTGATGAGAATACAGATTCAAGGGTTACCGGATGAAGTAGCCTATACTGACTTTTTCAAAGGTCTCAAAGACGGGTCGACCTTCAAATTTGATTTGGTCCGAAAGAGGGTAGCGACTCTTCAAGAGGCCTTGATTGAAGCGGAAGCCTATATACAGGCGACTGATCTTTGTAGTACGGTAAAACAGTCAGACGGGAAAAGGTCCGACAAAAGAGAAGGACGACAGAAACAGTCGTCAAACAAAGACGAGAAGAGAAAAGAGGTTTGGGCGGCTGATTCCTCTAAACAGCCGGCCTAGAAAAAGAAAAAAGAATTCAAACCATACTCCCCAAAGTATGCGTTTAATAAGGATAGCCAGTTTATCCTAAAGGAAATAAAGGGACGGATCTTAATTGAGAAGCCGGTCCCCATGAAGGGTTTTGTAAACAACCGGAACCAAGAAAAATTATGTGATTATCATGAAGATGTTGGTCATCACACCAATGAATGCATCAGTCTCATGCGGTATCTGGACCGCCTGGCTGAGCAAGGTGATCTTGACACTTATGTCAAGAAAT